CGTAGCACCCTGTATAGCAATACAAATTTGTTTTTGCTTATGAATGAATTTATCATTTATATCACGTATAATTTTTACAACAAAGTTCAAATTTTTTTGTACATTTTTCCCCAATATAATCTGTAACTGTATAAATGTAATTTATTTGTTATTTTTAAAATGAGACCATAAATTGAAAGTCTAACGATATTAGAATAATTATATAATATTAGATTTATATTGGAAGTGCATTGGCCAATATTTAACAATGTCATAACAATATTTGTCTAATATTGTATCCATCCAATTGTATCAATATTAGATCAATATTGTTTAACAGACATATTGGCTAAATAACAGAAGGCGTCCATCTTACAATATTGAACCAATATTGAGAATACTGAAGTTACATTATTTCCCAATATTGGCGCCAATACATTGTGCAACTACAGTTGGTATGATGTTATGATAAATTTATACATATATCAATTCATTGTTTATATACTATTTTTGCTGTCATGTATTATTAGCATGATATATTAATTTTGATGCTAACTTTACTTTATAGTGTTTTATTTTTAAGTTAACATATCACAATGTTAAAGAAACGTAAATGCAATATTAACATAGCAAATGTTATTTCAACATTGCCGGAACCTCGAAATCAGTATCAAAGTATGCTTATGACGATATTACCTATAACGTTAAAAACTACATAGTTGAATATGTTACCATATTAGTTTGAATGTCGTTATAAAAACGTTGTAACAATGATTTCTTACTTACTAGTAAGGCATTTAATAGTTAACAAATTATTTTGTTTGCCCATAGCAACTGTAAGAAAACTTACCATGACAGAGGCAGCAGCGCAAAGTCATTTCTTCTTCGCAGCTGGTAGCGAATCTTCTTCGACGACAATAACATTCGCCCTGTATGAATTGACTCAACATCAAGATATACAAGACAAAGTTTGCAAAGAAATCGATGAAATGTTAGCGAAACATGGTGGTCTGACATATGATGCTGTGAATGAAATGACTTATCTTCACAAAGTGGTATATGGTAAGTACACATTAAATATAAAAAAATCATACGTTATTTACTTGTATACATATAATAATTTAAATAAATTGCGATTATTTAAAACGAGAAATGTATCGTCATACTTTTCTTTTACATATTTCAGAAACTATGAGAAAATATCCACCTCTTCCATTGTTAAATCGCATTTGTACTAAAGAAACAGACATACCAACAATGAACCTACGCCTACCGAAGGGAACTTTAATCTCTATACCAGTGCTTGGGTTGCATCGAGATCCATCAATATATCCAGATCCAGATAAATTTGATCCAGAACGATTCAATGAGAACGTGGTAGCAGAAAGACATCCTTATGCTTATTTACCTTTCGGAGAAGGTCCCCGAATGTGCCTCGGTAAGACTGTAAATTAATCTATTATTATATTTATACATCAATTCATTGTTTATGTACTATTATTTATGCACAATTATATTTATATTGACACTAATAGTCATTTTATGTCAATCTTTTTATTTCAAAATCTTCAATTAAATACATTTTTGTTAAATAACAATGGCTCGTATGATAAAAATCGAACGGTAAAAGGAACTTAGAGCCTAGACAGATCTTATAGACAGTGTAATTTTTTATATCATTCGTATACCGGCTTTTATGCATCTAAGCTCCTTTTACCGTTCGATTTTTATCATACGAGCCATTATTATTTAACAAAGATGTATTTGCTATAAATAAATATGATAACATTGATAATAATAATTATTATTAAATCAATACTTTTGAAATGTTTTATCCGATATTATTTTGATAGCAGTCTCTAAATACATATTGTCAACATTTTCCAAAGAAATTTAAATAACACATGTTTATCTTAACAACTTACATTTAAGTTAAAAGTATTATTTAAAACATTAATTTATTTTATCTTACTCTTCGTAATTACTTTTAATTTTAAATTCTATTTAATTATGAAATTTTTTAAATTATATTTAAATAAATTTCCCGATACTTACAATAAGCTATTGTGAAATTATATCGTAAGTTTTGTTAATATCATTATCATTACTTTTCAGGCGCACTATTTGGCTACTTGCAAACAAAAGTCGCACTCGTGAGTCTGTTGTCGAAGTACAAATTCACCCTTCACCCCCAGACTCAGGTCCCGCTTAATTTTCGCGAGATGAGCATTCTTCTTTGGGTAAAAGGTGGCGTACACTTGATTATTGAAACACGAGAAAATAATTACGTTGTCACGTGAACCAGAAATATTTGTATTTGTCAGTTACTGTTAAAATATGTTAATAGAATTAATGTGTTTTAATATTCGTTATATTGCCCTTTTTACATCGTGTATTTGATACGCGTATCAAGTACTATATTCGTACCAAATAATTAAGTACGCACGATGTAAACGCTGCCGGATCAACTTGGTACGAGCATATCAAATAGGAGTATCGTACTAAACTGATACGCGTATCAAATGATACAAATGACGATGTAAACGCATGAAACGCATTTTGTCCGTTTTATACTTTTATTACCTGTAAAGTCGTCAACTGTAACATTCGTCGTTTCGCGAGGCAGACCGCCGCATTTTTTGTCAGATTGTTTCGTTTTGTGTCAAAATTACATTAAAATGTCATGTAAAAAAGGATTCAATTGGAAAGAAGAAGAAACACGAATATTTTTAGAGTTATGCACGGAGAAGCAGATTATGAGACAATCGACATGAATTAAATTCGTATTATTTTTTCCGGTTGGTACACTCGATGTGATTCGATGTAAACGCACACGTATTAAAGCATTGGTGCGCACTAAACTTAATACGCGTACTAACGTTTTGACGATGTAAACTAGGCCATTGTAATTATGCACTACATACGGGTGAAGGAATCAAATTATATTTATATTTTTAAACTTTGTTTTATTTATTCATTTAAAACCCATGTTTATATATCCATAAAGAACAGATTGTTATAAATTACACATAAAGTTTGGTTTAAATTGTGCGGAGTATGGAAAAATTTTTGCACAATTGACAATATCAACTAAAGGCAGCGTTAGATTTTAAAATGTAACAAGTTTTTAAAAATTTTACATTTGTGTATGCCAAATTATGAGAAAGGAACTTTTAAACCATTAGTTTCGGCGTATATTTAAAAGTTTCCGTTTCAATACATATTGTTGTCACAAACTCGGATGTTCGATTCTCAATTTTGCATTTTCTCACTTTATCATTCCCCATTTTGAAAAAAATAGCCGAGCATAATTGCCATTCAAATATTCTTAAAGAGGACATTTGGAGCTTCATTTTCCATTTTTATATTTATTTTTATCTTCATTATTTACCAAGTTATGATCACTTGAAATTTGGTAAATTTTTCCCAAATTTTTAGTGTACCGCTTTTGTTGCATCTGAGTGTATTTGAAAAATCGTACGTTAGCGAATACGATAGAGAGGAAAATTCCTTATGAAATATTTTTTAAGAAAAGGCCAGATGGCAAACATTTACGTCTTTATGGTAGTAGAGATTTTGTAAGAAAACCGGAACAAAAAAGACTTTCAAAATGGGGAAAAAAGGCTGATTTGGGAATTTTACTTGGATATAGCGATGTAGGGTATAGAGTACTTATGAATAATAAAATAGTAGTTGCAAGACATGTGGACATTGTAGAAAGCGATGTAAAATGTATCGGTCTTGATGTAAATGATCATGATAATGCTGATATGGAAAGCAATGCTAGTTTAAGCGATGATTCAACTGATGATTTAAATGATAATGTTTTTGAAAGTGCAGATGAAGCTAAAGAACAACACTGTAAAACAAAAGAAAGAGATATTGAAAAGGTAGGGTTGAAATCTCCACGAAAATCTACGCGTGAAAAAAAAGACACTGTAAGATATCCAGAAAAAGAAAGCTATAATGTTTATGTAAGATACTGTAGAGTAGATACACCTTGTACATTTGAAGAGGCGATAAGCAGTAAAGATAGTAAAGATTGGAAACAAGCAATGAATAAAGAAATAGATTATATAAATAAAAATAAGACATGGAAATTAGTGGATAAAGTACGAGAAAAAAGGTCCTAGATGTAAAATGGTTTTACACAAGAAAGTCAGAAGATAGATATAAAGCTAGGCTAGTTGTAAGAGAATTTCAACAAGTAGATGTAATTGATGATATATGTATATACTCCCTAGTTGCGAAAAATCAAACGTTAAAAATTCTACTTTCATATTGCTGCCAAAATGGATTAAAAATTGAACAAATGGATGTGGAAACTGCCTTTTTGAATGGTAAGATTAACTCGGAAGTATATGTCAATCAACCAAAAGGTTACGATGATAGGACAAATAGAGTGTATAAGTTATCAAAAGCATTATACGGATTGAGAGAAAGTCCTAGAGATTGGTATGAGTGTTTCGACGAATACGTTATAAAACTAGGATTTAGAAAAAGTAATGTAGAATTATGTCTATACACATTTGGAAAAGGTGAAGATATTGTTTATCTATTAATATATGTAGATGACTTATTGATTTGTGGAAAAGATAAAAGGAAAATACAAAGTATAAAGAAATTGTTATCAGATAGGTTCAAGATGAAAGATTTAGGTGAAATAAAAGAATATCTTGGAATTAAAATAGATTATGATTATAGAAAACACGAAATGAAGCTAAGTCAAACAAAGTATATTGAGTCCTTAGCAAATAAATATAAAATAAAGAATAGTAAATTATATAGTCCTCCGATGGAAACAAATTTGAAAATTGGAAAGGCTGAAGAGTGCGCATTTGAGTTAAAATATAGAAACTTAATTGGTGCTGTATTGTATATAAGTTCTAATACAAGACCTGATGTGAGTCACAGTGTAAGTTACTTAAGTAGGTATCAGAATTGTTACAACGAAACACACTTTAAATATGCTTTGCGTGTATTGAAATACCTGTATTTAACGAAAAATTTAAATTTATGATTTACAAGGAATGAAAATGCTGAAATTATAAATTGTTATGTAGATTCTGATTGGGCAGGTGACAACACAGATAGGAAATCCACATCGGGATATGTAATTAGTTTATACGGAAATGTAATTGAAATCACGAAAGCAAAAATGTGTAACAAAAGCTTCGACTTATGCGGAATATGTAGCGCTTTCAGAAGTTGTGAGTGAGTTGAAGTACATAAGAGAATTATTGAAAGTATTTGAAATAAATTTAATTGAACCGATAAAGATTTATGAGGATAACACAGGTGCTATAAATATAGCAAATTTTGGGAATTTTACAAAAAATTCCAAACACATTGAAATTCATTATCATTACGTTCATGAAAATGTAAAGGAAAAATTGATTGAAGTACTTAAGGTAAATTCTGACGAAAATATTGCGGATATATTTACGAAAGTGTTATGCAAAGAAAAATTTGAAAAGTTTAGGATGTTAATGAATATAAAATAAAGCAGACGAGAATTATGTTAAACAACATAAATGTAAGGAGGCGTGTTAGAATGTGTAGTACATTTATATTGTACGGTAATGACAGATATCATGTAGAAGAGTACGCGCGAATGGAATGCGAGTATAGACGCACACATGTGTACGCCTCCCCACTTCCCTGTATGTATGTACTGTATGTACTGTCGCACGATGCTAGAGTCGACAGGTGTAAATACAGGTGTGCGTGCTATACGCAGTCCGGGAGAGGCTCACGTGGACACAGTACAAGTGGACACTGTGCAAATGGACACGGAATATTGCACACGGTTTATTTGGACACAGAAATTTTGAACACATAAAAGTTGCACACCGTAAAGTTGAACACGGCGCAAATGGACACCGTTCTTTTGCACACGGTAAAAGTTGCACACTAAAAAGTTGTACACAGGGCAAGTGGACACCGCTCATTTGCACACGGTAAAAAAGGAATATATTCTCTGCTTTAAAATACATGTATTCTCTCATAAATAAATATATTCTCTACTTTAAAACACACGATCCTGTAAACTTACCATTTTTAATTATGAATGGTATCCACTTGAGCCGTATCCAACTTTTCGGCGTGTAACTTTTACCGTGTGCAAGTGAGCAGTGTCCACTTGCGCCGTGTCTACTTTTCGGTGTGCAACTTTTACCGTGTGCAAATGAGCGGTGTCCACTTGCGCCGTGTCCAACATTATAGTCTGCAACTTTTCAAAAGAACGGTGTCCATTTGCACCGTGTTCAACTTTACGGTGTGCAACTTTTATGTGTCCAAAATTCCTGTGTGCTAATGAACCGTGTGTAATATTCCGCCGTGTCCATTTGCACAGTGTCCACTTGTACTGTGTCCAAGTGAAGGCCACTCGTAAGTCCGGCACAGACCCGCGCCGAATCTCTCTATATATCACTAGGTTTAAGATTAAACAAGAAAAACCTTTATATTAATGTGGTCTCTCATCACTCATCACTCCAAGTAATACTGATCCTAAGGAGCCTTACTCAATACACACACAGTTCAGTGCAGACTCTCGATGCGTATAGTCATATCGTACATATTTATTAATTCGGTCCTAGAGACCGACGCGCCTACTCGCGTTTGAAACTTCAAGTGGCTATCGCAACCAGAAAATTTCAGGTAATTCACGTTTTTCATCGCTTTAGAAGTTAATTGTCATTAGTCCCACTTTAAAGTATTATAATTATTGTTATAATTTGTGATTATACAGTCATGGCGACCTACGAAGCGGAGCAGGTTCGATTGGAACGATTGCTTATTTTGTGTGCAATTTGCATGTATATCATGACAATAAAACTTTAACTTATTTTTATTTAATTATCCTTAAAGCAAATGAGATTGAAACGTGTAATGGCTCATTCAGACTGGACGCGATGAGCGACGAGCGGCGCGCGATTATCCAATGAGCGTACAGGTTTTATGGGAAAGCGTACAGTTTTCCTATAAAGACTGCACGCCCATTGGATATCGCGCGTCGCTCATCGCTCATCGCGTTCAGTCTGAATGAGCCATAAGAATGCAACACTCTCCATTTTCTTATGACGGTCTCACAGACTGACGCGCCTACTCGTGTTCAAAAAGTACACGCGCCTGCTCTAGGGTTAATATAGGGGAGGATAATACTTTTTTGGGGTTAAAACTTTTTATAATATCGGTTGCGCAGTCACTATGAGTGGTATCCCGCCTCTTTAATTCATTAAATCTAATGTTTAAGTGTTTATTAATAGTTTTGTTAGGAAAGGAGTTATTGATTTAAATTTTCTTAACACCCGATCGATATTCTGTTTCCAGTATTTGTTGTCAGAGAGTAAAAATGCGCGATCAACTAGACTAATATGTAAATTTTGTATACGTCACAATACATAAAAATTTTAAATAATTGGAACACTATTGCAACAGCATATTCCTGAGACTAAATCAAGTAAAAAAGTCCTGTACTATTGTACTTTTCTCTCCGACAAACAGTTATCGAGATGTCAAAAGCTAAACATTGAAAAAGTTATAAATTTTCTCTTGAATATCTCACAAAGTATTAGGCAAATAAAAAATGTTTCAGACAAAAGTTGTTCATAGTAATTAGTGGAATAAGATAGATATAATAAACAATAGGGGGTTTTATTAAAAAAATTAAAGGTAACCTTCACGTGACCTTCAAGCAATTCACTATTCAAGGTCAAATTAATGACACCATCTCTCTTATCAATCTCGGTTTTTTTTACATCTTTGACTATTTTATTATACACAGTGAGACTGTATTTTGTAATTTGATCTGTACTTTGTAATTTGATTCGAAATCCCGATTATTGGATGTTCTTTCAGATTTCCCTTGAGAAGGACCTAAACCCTAAGATCGAAACGTCGCATTATATATTTTAATTTTATTATATTAAACACTGGCCAGTTAAAGTCGACTAAATC